AACGAACTGTTTCCTTAACTAATAACATCGATCCAATGACGTTTTCTGAGAATCTTGAATTATTTCAATTTTACTTTTTTAAGAAGGGGAAGTTCAGAGTTAAAAAAACGCATGTTTTTGATAAAATTTTTAATTGCTAATGATAAATAGACTTCTGCATTATACTTGTACATTTTTAACTTAATGATATATTAAATAATTAAAAACCAAGAAATTATATAAAATGTTAGCTTATGTAATATAAATTAATTTCATATAATTTATTTAACTATAATTTCTTTAATTTTAATTTAATTTGTTAGATCAATATTAAAGAACCTCTGAAAAGTGTACAACTTAATCCCGCATGACTTACTAATTGTTAAATTAGATGCCTATGGTTTTTCTAAAGAAAGTCTTAACCACTAGCTATTTATCTCTTATATTTTGCGTTCGTAGACAAAGGTTAAGAATAAGGTCATCTATCTCAAACTGGTTGGATATTTTATCTGAAGTGCCTCAAGGGTCAATCCTTGGACCAATTTTGTTCAATATCTTTACATATGGTTTATTTTTATTCATTAAAGAGACGGAACTTCGTAAATTTGCGGATCATAACGCTATTTATGCTTATGATTAAAGCTTTAAGAAGGTTTTTTGTGTGCAAAAAGAAGCAACCAATATCATCAACTGGTTTTGTTTTCAAAAAAAAAGGAACCAATACCATCATTTGGTTTCAGTTAAACTCTATGGTCGCTAATACAGATAAACTCCAATTTCTTTTAGTTGGTTTAAAAAACACAACAGATCTATCGTTTAAAATGGGTAATATAAGGGATTTTGCCTCCGATAAGGTAAAACGGCTTGGTATAACAACTGATAAAAATCTAAAGTTTGGGGAACACATTAAATAGTTATGCAGTAAAGTTATGGTAAATGTTTTGCTCTTTCACGCATAAGAAATATTTTATCCAGTGATAAATCTATTTTGCTGTTTAATGCTTTTGATTTGTCAAACTTTTTATATTGTTCTCTAATTTGAATGTTTTGTTCAAAAAAAGATGACAAACCAATTAAAAAAAATTCATAAAAAAAGTTTGATCTTTCTTTGGATGAATTAATAAATTTTGATAACAGCCCAAGTATCCACTTAAGAAACTTGAGATTTCTTATGATGGAAACTTTTAAACTTTTAAACTTGTTTAAATCCAGAATTTATGAAGAATCTTTTCATTATAAAAAATCCTACGTATAAACTTTGTTGTAGCAAAAAACCGATTCTACCTCCAAAAGGCTCCATTTATGATACATGCTGTACTTTATATCGAGCCACTTCACTCTGGAACACTCTAAATAACAAGTCCATGTCCGAAAAATGTCTTGAGGTATTTAAAAAACATATCAAAAATTGGAATGGTAATAATTCCGTTTTGAAAATTTGTCGTTTTTAAAATATTGTTTTTTTTTTTAATACTGATTTATACCTTTAGCAAGGGTTGTATTATTTTTATTATTATTATTATTATTATTATTATTATTATTGTTATTATTATTGTTATTATTTAGAAACATTGTAAATTTTCATGAGATTTTTTTTTATTAAAACAATTGTAATTTTTTATGACATTTATATGTGTATGTGTACTGTTTCTAAAGTTAAATGTGTTGATTTAAATTAGTTTGAATGTTAAAACTTGATCATGTAAAAGACGTCAAAATTGATTCGAGTATAGCTAAAGAGCTGTACAACTTCCTCCAACTTATCTTGAAATAAAGGTTTTAATTCACTTTCAATTATAAAGTAAAAGTCGTTTCAAAAAACTATTTACGTAATTTACTTTTTCATAAAAACTTACAGGAGTGAGTAAAAAAAAGTAAGTAAATGAGCCATCCCAAATTAACAAGCACTCTTGATTATACTGCCATCAACCTCAACAACCACACCTAGTGTTAATGAACTAGTATCCAATCAAACTACTACCTCATTACCATAAATACTTTAAACCTGTTATTAGCATAAATACTTTAAATCTGTTATTAGCTTCCATTAAACCCAGCTAACACAAAAAGTTCAACGAACGTTGCAAACTTTCAAGAACGTTCTATGAACGTTCGCAACGTTTGTCGAATGTTCTTGAACATTTTGTGTTAGCTGGGACATAGCAGACATCATCTTTGGATTTATTAGTTTAATGACGAAAGATTTGAAAACCTGTACTAATCACTTTATAACAAAGGCAACTAAATTTTCAACAAAAAACGTGGAAAAAATTTGGAATTTTTTCAGTTTAAAAGATTTAAATACAAGTTGACTCCGTCTAAATGGTTTATTCCCAACGGGCATTTGTTTTTAAAACTTACATTCTAAATGTCTTTTAAACGTTTTTTAAACGTCTTTTAAACGTTTTTTACGTAAGAATGTTTAGAAGACGTTTAAAAGACATTTAAAATACATATAGAACGTAACTTTTAAAAAAAATGTCCGTAGGGTTGTTTGCAGTGTTAAACCCAACAAAAACTCAAAATGATCAGATCTTGTAAAGTACCATGCCAACCTTATTCTTTCAGTTAAAAACCTTGGTTATATTGACCTTGGAAAAAATACATACTGAGTTACTCAAATACTCAAAATTAATCAAGGAAAATTTAGATAAGATATATTATTTCTGTACTAACAAATTTAAAAATTCATGAACTCTCTCATTGGTTTGCCGTGGTGTTAGCATTTGTTATATGGTGTATTGTGGTAAATGTGTCATTATTACTTCTTTTTATCACTCGTTTAATCGATATTTGAGAGAGATTAAAGAAAAGTACGAATAAAACTCGGAAACAGCAGAAAAAACCTAGGAAAGAATCTAAGAAGAAGGAAAGGAAGATTTTTTTTTGGTAAAAATAATATTATAGAAATCATAGGAAAATTAACTTTGATAAAGTTTTGTATTATACGGGTATTATATCTTTAAAGGACCAAAAAACTAGTCATCTTGGAATCTAATGACCTTGTGAAACAATGACGTAAGGTATAAGTCAGAAAATAAAGAGAAGAAAAAGTTGAAAACAAATTTAATTTTCTCAAATTTGCAATTTAAATACGATTATATTAAGTTTTACTCAGAAATGAAAACTGTAACAAATCATTTGTTTCATTTGATTTAGTGCAACCAGGTCCAAGTAATCAAAAGCAAAAGTTAGCAAAGGATTTTGATATTACCATATCATCAGTGTCTAAAAATGTTTTATTAAGAGATTGAAGGGCGAACTTAATCATAAATTTGAAAAACAAAAAAGAGATAAAATTACATAATATAAATTAATTAAAACCGGAGAAATTAATAACATTTCAGCAATTGATACTTGACAAGCTAAATATTATGTTTTAGCTCAAATACTTAAAACTTTTTTTTTCTTGGTTATTTAAGTGCTTCAAGAAGACCTAAGGGTCTTGTCGCAGAACACCGCTGAAGAACACATCTAATCTAGATATTTTATGCCATTTCCTTAATAATGTCGCAAAAATGGTTAGAGCAGGAATCGAATCTAGGACCTCTTGATTTTAAGACTCAAACCACTGAAAGCATCGTTTGTTTTTATCGGCATATATGCCTAATAATATAAAAAATCAGAAAGTTTGCACTATTTTAAAGTTCTAAATGGAATTAATTAAGAAAATGTTGGTCAGGTTTGGTATAACGGGTTTAAATATTATAAGGCCAATACCCGATACGTTTAATTAAAGGGTCTAACTGGTCTGGGTCTGGCGGGTTCCGGATTCATAATAACAACCCAGACCTGGTTCAAACGGGTCGGGTCGGGTCTGGATCTAGATCTGATCCATTAACAGCCTAGTTACAGTTAGTTGAATCCCTAGTAAGTCTAGTATGTTGAAAATCTAATGAAAGTGTTGTTAAACTTAAATGAACTGCTGGTTGTTTTATGCTTCAATAGCTAATTGGTTTAGCACAGACAAACAGTCGCTATCATTGTCCTTTAATGTTCTGAAAGATCTTTTTAAAGTTGCCACCTAATGGGCAATGTCAAATATATTGTGCTGAGCAACTTTTATCACAATATGTTATTGTGGACATCATAAATTTATTATTGAACGATCACGGATAAAATGCGGAAACGCGGAAATTTTTAACGTGTAAAAATGTGGGAATAAAGTGCAGAAAATGTCTTCAAACTTTACCCCTTTCACGCCCTAACCCAAACCACCAGTCTATGCATATCACTCCTTTGTTTACCGAAATTGAACTTTAACCAATTTCTAACGCTACGGGTTAAAGTTCATTTTTAAAAATCTATATAATATCAGCAACTAAGGTTGTGTTTTTATTGTGCATATTAAAAAAGTTGGCGCCACGGTTGACGCCATGATTTTTTTTTTACCAAATGTTTTTTGTTTAAAAAAAAATAAAAGTTTCTAGTCATCCTTTTTAATAAGACTTTGATTTAAGTTTAGAAATTAAAATGTTATAAAATTTTCTACCATAAAAATCTTTAAGACAAACCTTAAAGTTGAAATTTAAAGTTTTATCAATTTAAGATTTAAGAATAAACAAAAAAACTATTTTCTATTTTATTAAATTTTTAATTTTTAATTAGATATAAATAAAATTTATGTTTGTGCTTATTTTAAAAAATTGACTAAATTGAAATCTTTTATTTAATAAATCAGGAAATCAAGTAAAACTATCCAACATCAAGAAAATTATGGTCATGTCAAAAGTTTTTTTTTGTTTATGCTATCAAATAATAAATATAACCATAGTAATGTTTGTTATCAAATATGTCTGATCTAAAAAATTAACTCGGCAAATTCACAACTTCGCATTAATAAAAATATATTCGTTCTTTGTTTTTTTTTACCAACGTTGCATCGTGTCTATAGAGCTATAATTTATTCTTTTTAAAGTGGGATAAGATCTACTTATTAATATAAATTTAAAACACATTCCTTCTTTCAATAGTTTCTACTATTTTTTAAAAATGCATCCATCTATTATGCATGTGTTAATGGATTTCTTTTAATAATAAAATTACATTTTACGTGACCGTTTACACGAAACTTATTAACACAACAGTTGTGAATCTCAAAGTAATCTATTTGGCGCAACTATATATTATAGATACTTAAAAAGACTAATTATAAAATGCTGAGTAAATTTTTATGGTATGTGAATGTTTATTGACGTATTATAATATTAGTGCATTGCTGTTTTTATTTTAGTATGGTTTAAATGCAAATATAGAATCTAAAACGTCGTTTATAAATTAAAAATTTACAATTTAGAACAACGCACTTTTAAAAACATGCTTTGTGTGTGTGTGTGTGTGTGTGTGTGTGTGTGTGTGTGTGTGTGTGTGTGTGTGTGTGTGTGTGTGTGTGTGTGTATATAAATACATCATGCATACATCATATTTTCATACATACATACATACATAACATACATACATACATACATACATGCATCCATCCATCCATCCATCCATCCATCCATCCATCCATCCATCCATCCATCCATCCATCCATACATACATACATACATACATACATACATACATACATACATACATACATACATACATACATACATACATACATGCATACATACATACATACATGCATCCATGCATACATACATACATACATACATACATAAATGCATTCATGCATGCATGTATACATATTTACATACATACATTCATACATACATACATACATACATACATACATACATACATACATACATACATAAATACATACATACATACATACATACATACATACATACATGCATACATGCTTACGTACATTCATACATACATACAAACAAACATACATACATACATACATACATACATACATACATACATACATCAGTGATTGGAAAGTCCCTGTTTTAAAGGATCTCGTTCTGTTCCCCATTCATTTTGTAAAATAAGAGCTAGTTCCAGTTCCTTGTTCTTTAGTCAAAAAAGGAACTTAATCCATGTTCCTCAAAAAAGAGAACATGTTTCTACTTTGTTTCTTTTTTAATAGATATTTTTTATTTTACATATTGTAATAGTACTTTATTGTTTTGCTTGGCGAGCAATGCTTTTTTAATGTGGTTTATTTAGTTATTTAATTTAAATAGTTGTTAAACATTTCTGGTATCCTGCCGGCCTACTCTGCATCAGCATGTACTTTATACACATATATAGTATTGACCATAAATAACAATCCATCATGTTATTTTAGTACGAATATAAGTTTGAAACCAAATTTTTTATAAACTAAAAGTGATTATTTCCTAAGTCTTTTTTTATTTAAATAAATCAAATAACCACAATATAAATTTGTTATAAAGTAATAACAATTAAAATAATTAAAAACTAAAATATTGAAATTAAAACAAGTGTTCATGTTCATCAAAAAAAAAAAAGAATTAATATTTTGTTGACAATCCTTTTGCTCTTATGCATTTACTGGTATGATTTGGCATGGAGTTCACTAAATTCTGAGCAATCTCTTTTGGATCACTATTCAGTAATTTTGTTACAAATTTTTTCAGCTGGCTCAGATTGTTTATTTTAATTTTATCAAGATTGCGGTTTAACCCAGACTGCAAATTCTCTATGTAATTGAGATCTGGACTATTGGCAGGCCAAGACATGGATTTAATGTTGTTTTCTTCAAACAATTGCTTGCAAATCTTAGCAGCCCGGAGCATTATCTTGTGGGAAGATTCCCATGTCTTTTTAGAAAACGTTAATAGAAGGCATCAAATAACTATCTAAGGGATCGTCCATAAATTATGTAAGGCAAATTTTCATAAAAGACAAAACAAAAAAAGATCAAAAGTTTTCCCTTGCAGAGTCTTAATTTAAATAAACAATCAAAATAGGAAATTAAGTTAAATGAAAATCGCCGCATAAAAGATCCTAATATCTCCTACTCCTGTTCTAAAAATATTTTTTGCGTTGCGTAATTTATGGACGATCCCTAATATGTCTAAATATCTCAGAGAATCAAGCCTTCCATCAAATATTTTGAAACAACCGACACCTTTATAGTTCATGCAGATGTCTATACTACCACTGTCTATACTATGTCTATACTGCCCAGATGTCTATACTACCCAGATATCTATACTATCAAAACCATGTTTTGTTCTATTTGTAGAGCAATTTAGGTCCATTTAGTAATGTGGCTTTCTTTTCAGCATTATTTGGTTTTTTTTAAATCATCTTCAACATTTATTTAATCTCTGAAAAGATCATTGTGCCACATGCTCATAGACCAAATTTTATGAGCTAAACACCAGTTTTTTCTTGTTTTCTGATGTTTTATCAATAGACTGGGCTTTTTCACAAGCAGCTCACCACATGTATTTGTGTTCTTGTAGTGCTAATTGTTTGAGCACTAGCAGCAACACCAGAAGCTTTTTGTCCTTGTCTTTTTTTTATTTGAAATGCTGAGTCTTCCAGGACATTGAAGATTTTGAATTGTATTGTATGTTTAATATAGGCTGATTATTCTGCTAAAAATGATATGTGTTGTGTTAAAATGTTTTGCAGTTTCTCTCATTAGGAGTTTAGTTCATTCATTACTACAATTTTACATTTTATTATATTCTAGTCAATTTGATGGTTTTATTGCTGAAATATTGTAGTTAATTAGATACTGATTTTTCTATTTCATTTTATGCAAATTTTTAAAATATTGGTAACAGTTTAAATAAAAATTCTCAAATAATTATAAATAGTTTGCAAATAAGTGTAAAGTTTTAATCAAAAACAAATGAAATTTTGAAGGAGCTTTGAAATAATACAGTGGATTGTTAATTTTGGCCATAATTATTATTTTAGATAATGAGATATGTCCAAAAAAAAGCAATATAACTAGCACATTAAATAACATTTTTATGAATATCTATATTTACTTGAAAGAAAATAGAATGCTTATCAATATACATTTTTTATATTTATAAAGAGTCTAAAATTGATTTCATATCAATCAAAACATGTTGGATTATTATCTATGGCCAATACTATAAATGATATGGGTAATTCCATGTCAAATCAGCAAAAAAAAAAAAAAAAAAAATGTCACACTATGTTTTGGATTTTGCTAATTTTTTATATGTTATAGGGTTTATAAAAATCAAGAAAATCTGAAATTTAGAACCTCAGACCCCTTACGGTTCCATGTGGATGCATGAATTTAATTTTATAATCTCCTTCTCTTTCATCTTTTTTGGTTATAATTCTAATCACCTAAAATTGTCATAATTGCAAGCTACAAATTCCATATGATTATAAATAATCTGCTGCACAACCAGCTCATTTGGTATCTGCACAAGGTTAAATGTCTGAAAATCAGTTTGTTTGCTCATCCTTTTAAAAGATATTGTAGATTTATTAATTGGTATAAAATGGTGGAGGCATCTTGTTCCTGGCAAGGTTCTTCCCATAATAAGCCTTGGTTGTAATGATGATCAAACTTTATTTATTCCTGTTTTATAAACCAAAATGAATTTTTTTATTGGTTACATAAAATTCAAACATCTTATCTACATCTAAAATCTGTCCAGTAATTGTCCTTGTGCAGTTAGTCTTTTTACTGTGCCCCCAATACCATCACAAGCAGATTTACCATGGCTTGTGGCAAAAAAAACCCATTCAGCATCAATATCAAAGTCTTCTTTGTGATGGCAAAGATTAATAAAGTTCTTAAAAATTTTATATTGTGCTGCAGATCCATCAGTGAAGTATTTAATACTACTAATTTGTAGAATGTTTACTATGATTTAATTGATAATGAGCTGTTGTATTTTATATACAAAGTATACATCATACTCAATGTCATCAGAAAGAAAGAAAAATGTCTTAGATATCAGTTTACCATTTGATTTGTAGTATATAGTAATAGGATGAAGTGTATATTTTGGTTTACTCCTGTGGTAACTTTGCACCTCATCCTGAACAATAAAAATTTTCTGCAAAGTCGCCCAATATTATACACTCATTGTGATTTAAAAACTCTTTACAGTCTTTAAGGTACATGGCCTGACTTTTAGCTATAAATGAATGAGATGTAAGTTTATCTATTTTGTTGCATATAAGATCAATAACATCTTCAATATTGATTTTTTGATTGATCAGTGTAGTTCTATCAGTACCTTGCCATTGGTTAATTGTTATTTCTTTATCACTGTTGTCAAATTTTCCTGTTAATAATTCTTCTAAAGCAGTAATACCAGGACATAGCTGACATCGATGTAACATGCATTCTAGATTATCTCGATTGCAAACATTCATTCCCATTAAATCTCTATAGTCTCTATCAATTTTAAGAGCATCAGTTAACAACTTAACATTCTGATGATAGATACAGACACAAACACTGTGAGTGCCAGACGAGTTTGTGGTTACATACCATCTTGGGCGAAGGCTGCAAAACTTTGAAAATCCAACATTTAAATTAGAGTGTTCAGATTTAAATGCTACATGAAGTTCTTTTAAATTAATCAATATTAGTCTTTTTAGCATGTGTTGCCTGTACCCTATACTGACAAAATCTTTTTTTCCTGGCATCATTCGTGTGTACTTGTCACTTTGATAAAAGCTATGAACTAGATCAATGATTTCATGGGAAAGCTTTTTTTTTTTTTTTGATGATGGTTTATACAAAATTCCATGTTTTTTTTTAGCTTTTCTAGCCTCTCGTATAAGGTAAATAGATACATAAAAAAATTCTGCAGATTTTGGGAGTGACCATGATTCTGGAGTTAATGTTAATATCTGTATTTTTTTAGAGTATGATGCCAAATTTTTTTAGTTAATCTTTTAGTTCATTTAAAAGTGAATCTAGATTGTCAATTTTATGTTTATCAACTGAAGAAGTTAGTGATGTACAAGATGGTGTCAATCTAATCAACAGCTTTCATGTTCAGTTGTTCATATTCAGACTTAACACTGCTATAGCATTGATCATTTGGTTCTTATTTTTTATTTATACTCTGTACCCTTTTGTAACAATTACTATATAATTTCAACCCAGGTACAACACCCAGGTACAACAGGAATATCTTGTGTTTTAAGAGTTATTGCTATTAATAGCGATATCTTCACATTTCCTATATAAAAACAAACAATCATTTCTAAAAACAAAATATCAACTAAGCA